TTTTCTAGCGGTTACCCGTGTCGCGAGGCGACACGGGCTTTCTGGCGCTTTCAACTGGGCGAGAGCCGAACACTGTACACTACTGCACTTGCGACGGGCAGCGCTTTCAAACGGAATACTGGAAATCTCGCTTACTTTTGTGGCAAGTTTGATAGGAGAAAAATATTATTCTTTTCACGCGAATTGTTCGCTCTATTTCTAATCTCTCTCTTCCGTGTCCTTGGCATGGAACGCCCGCTTCGTCTCCCACAAAGTACTTTCGAGGAATCAAGTGCAAATCACGCTACTTTAAAATGTGCGTGTTTTCTAGCGGTTACCCGTGTCGCGAGGCGACACGGGCTTTCTGGCGCTTTCAACTGGGCGAGAGCCGAACACTGTACACTACTGCACTTGCGACGGGCAGCGCTTTCAAACGGAATACTGGAAATCTCGCTTACTTTTCTGGCAAGTTTGATAGGAGACAAATATTATTCTTTTCACGCGAATTGTTCGCTCTATTTCTAATCTCTCTCTTCCGTGTCCTTGGCATGGAACGCCCGCTTCGTCTCCCACAAAGTACTTCCGAGGAATCAAGCGCAAATCACGCGACTTTAAAATGTGCGTGTTTTCTAGCGGTTACCCGTGTCGCGAGGCGACACGGGCTTTCTGGCGCTTTCAACTGGGCGAGAGCCGAACACTGTACACTACTGCACTTGCCATGGACAACGCTTTCAAACGGAATACTGGAGATGTCGCGTGCTTTACTGCCAAGCTCAATAAGAGACGAATTTCTTTTTTTTTCACGGGAATTATTTCTTCTATTTCTAATCTCGCTCTTTCGTTTCATTGGGAAGGAACGCGCGCTTAGTTAGCCGCAAAGCAGTCTGAATTAATCACGTCCAAAGTACAGAATTTTACAATATATCGTGTTTTTACCGGTTGACCGCGTCAGAAAGCGTACCTTTCCGACGAGGTCTGTGTCGCTTTGACGTGAGCGGGAGCAACGCGATTTGGGCTAGTGCACGCGAGATTGGCAGCGCTTCTAATTCCAGTACTGTAGATATTGCGTGCATTTTTTACACGCTTGAGGATGTGGGATTTTCTTTCTTGTGACGTGACCCGTTTGTCAAATTGTGTCTCGCTTTTTGGTATCGTTTAAGAAGCCCGTCCGCTTACAATCCTAAAAAAAAAAAAAAGAAATTAGTAAAGAAAGACGCCCATACTTTTTGTTGCTCTTTCTTTTATTATCTGCGCAGGATTTTAATTTGTGTAAGTTTTGTTTACCGTCCCGACTACGTAGGCGTTCGTACATGCCCGTCCTCGCGCCTCGAATTGTGTGCGAGCGAAATCAATCTCCCCAAGCTAGCTTCAGAAATTGCTCGAAAATCGAACGTGAGGAAAGCCAGAGATACGTGGTTTTCACAGGTCGTGCAAGATTAATCCATAAAGTGCGATATATATATATATATATATATATATATATATATATATATATATATATATATATATATATATATATATATATATATTATATATATATATATATACATACATACATACATACACATACATGATTTCTGCGACAAATAGGAAGACAAAAAGACCATGTTCAAGCATAATATAGGAACATTGACACTTTGCACACACAAGGGAGGTCAAATGGCAGGTTTTTCTTCCTTGTGCAGGAAACTTTATTGCAATGTCAGAAGGGAAGTTCCACTCTAGAATTGTGCGCTCAATAAAGGAGGAAAGGAATTGCACTTGAAAACCTTCACAGTTCAAGTAAGAAAACATTTCGAAACGACAGTTTGTTTTCTTGCAGGAAGGAGAAGAGGGGAGGGAGGGAGGGAGGGAGGGAGGGAGGGAGGGAAGGAAGGAAGGAAGGAAGGGGGGGGGGGGTGCCATGCACGGTGAAGACCAGAGTGTCGAACCGAAAACCGAAGCGAACGAAAAACCGGAACCGAGGAGTTAGTTTCAGCCGAACCGAAACTGACCCGCCAACTTGGAACTGTACGGAAGAAAATATAACTGTCTATTAGTCTGACGATGAATGGAAGTACAAGGGTGTACGGCAGGGATAGCTGAAAAAAAAAAGGCTCTATGGACTTGGAGCGGCAGCCCAAAGTCGATGACGACGAAAAGAAAGCAAACAGTTTCGGAAAACAGGCGGTAAGAAAGCGACAAATTAAGTTGCCGTCATGTCGAGTTGATTGCTTAGCTCTATTTAAGATGAAGGAAAAAAAAAGTAGCACAATTGATGCTTACTTGCTAAATTGAATCAACCATTATCTTGTAAAGAAAAAAAACCTCAAATGCCAATCACCTGTATTTTAGGCGACCCAACAGACTGATAACTTTTAAATTCAGGCTAAAATATAACACAAAAAAAAACAAGGAAAGACAGATATGTATGTAGCTTGTCATTTACTGCTCCATCAAATTTAAATAAAGCAATTTATTTCTCGGCACCTGAAAATAAGCGAACCCTACAAATGAATGGAAAGATACCCGTTTGCACTCTTGAAATAGTGCCTATTGCGAAAAGAAGCACCAGGTAAATATAATATCACTTTAGCTTCTTCTTTTTCTTTTTAATACGGTACGCTGTTGGTTCATCTTAGTAAAATATATAAAATAGCGCAAAAAAGACGAGGACAAGGAGTATACAGGACAGGCACTCACTTTCAACTAGTTTTATCCAGGAAAAGTAAACATACATATATAGCTTTTATTCACGATAAGTGCCGAGGGCAGCCGGGAAGGCGGCAATAGCCCCGGATGGTTTGATCGTGCTGGGAGACACCAGCATCCCAGCTCAAATATCTTCTGCCCTTAAGAATATGTGCTGCTTTGCCTGTCGTGTGTATATGCATGTTCACTTTTCCTGAATGAAACTAGTTCAACATCAGCGCCTGTCCTGTATACCTCTTGTTCTTCTATTTGTTGTGCTATTTTAATGTCCTACATTACTTTTGTGCTCCCGCAAATCGAAGCAAACCAATAAAAAATTCGGTTCGACACTCTGGTGGAAACTAAAAGCTTAGAAAGAAAGAGGAAAAAAAGAAAAAGGAAAACATTTCTACAATAATGATAAGCAGGAGGAGGAGGAGGAGAACAAGAAGGCTAATAATGTGGAAAAAAGACACGACCCAAATAAATCAATACAAAGGATGGTATAAGTCATGCATACTTACCACATGTAAAATTAATTTTAAAAAAAATTAGAAAAAAAATGTGTATTTATATATATATATATATATATTTTTTTTTTCTTTTATCCAGAGGCTTTGGCGCACGCACAGCACTGCACTGCACTGCACTGCACAACACAACACAACGAGAGACTTTCCACAAACACACCACTGCGTACGAGGACACGACCACGTAGAGCTGCACGAAAACAAGCGCCGTAACTTAATAAAAAAAATAAAAAAATCCTTTCACTGGACGGACGGTACAAGAACGGAAACTGCTCAAAGAGCACACACACACACGACACATATTAATGAATTAATAAGGGGCACAAGTAGAACCTAGTTGGGCGATACGTAGGACACGGCACCCACACCAGAGGCCTTGCACAAGCACAGCACTGAGCACTGAGCAGCAGGTCACAGGACAGAAGTGACGTCCACGCTGAGTAGGCCGAAGGCAGGGAATTACGGACGCACGCGAGGTCACCCACAGGCACTTTCACCGGAACCACGCCACAACACCACGCTGCAGAGCGCGCACTGCAAAGCGAAACCATGCGCTCACCTTCGGAAAGCACGGAGGGCGGGCGGCAGAGAGAAGCAAAAAGACGTCAAAAGCACATCGCGATGAAGCGGCGGCGAATGAACACTACTCACTGGTGGAAATGGATATCTCCTCAAGCGAAAACTTGCAATGACCACGCACGGTTTAAGATGCACGTGGGAGACGCGCACACTTTCAGAAACCAGGTACGCCAACGCACGCGGGCAATAAGACGGACAAAACGCGTCGAAAATACATCGCGTGCAAGCAGCGCCGACTGCATACTACTCACGGTTGCAAAGGTTTCTTACAAGTTTGCACTCCAGAATCTTAACGCGTAGGAAAGCGTCCGAGCTCACCAAGAACTGTCACTCCGCAGGAACAACGCAAAGCAAAAGCAAAAAAAAAAAAAAAAGAAAAAAGAAAAAAAAAATGTAGGACACCGCTAGATAGATGAAAACGCCGTCATACTTTGTAAACAGAATTTGGAAAATAAGTAGCGCCGCCAGGTGGTCGGTGCCCAAGTAGATGCGGAGGCGCGCCTAAATTGTTTAAATATTTGCTGTTTATATGACGAGACGACGTAATGTAAAATCAAATCAATTAATTTAAACAAAAAGTAAAAACTAAAAAAAAAAAAATTAAAAACAAATGAATGAATAGTGGCGTCATCTAACGAACCTAAAGCAAGGCTCCGGTTTTCGAGCCGTTAACTGCGCAGCGCCATCTGGTTTGGATGGTAAAAGACACAAAATACGCAAGTGACAATGCTACGCGAGAGTCGGATGGTTGTTTTTAGCGAATCGGGGAAGTACGCTGGCGTTGTGCTTGTCTACGTGAGCGAAGCGAACGCGAGGGGTGGCTGGACCGTCGCGACGAAGTCCCGACGAGTACACGCGTCCCTAATGGTTCAACAAAGAAGAAAACTCGAGGAGCGAACACACTTCCGCCATGTGCAAGCAACGTGAAGGCAAGGACACTCGAGAGAGGCACACAGTTTCGTTTTCGTTGGCTCTGCAGCGTCAAAGCCAGCCTTCCTTCCTTCCACGTGCAGCTTTCGTTCACCGGCATGGTCTTGGTGGATGGATTACGTCCCCACACTTGTGAGTGAGGTGAACACCTGTCCAGAGTTCCGAGTGACACCGAGCTGTTGAAAACGAGGGACCTGTTGACCAAGTGAAATTGAGGATACTGCACGACATTTCGATGTCGCTTGCTATGCATGCAGAAAATAAAAGCGCCACGAAAAATGTTGTTTTCTTCTCCTCTTTTTCTTCTGTCAG